AGAGAGAGAGAGAGAGAGAGAGAGAGAGAGAGAGAGAGAGAGAGAGAGAGGTTGAGCGATAAAAGTTTGGTTGTCACGTACCTGTGAAGACCACTGTGCAGTCCAGCGAAGAGGAAGGAGGAGGCCATAGCCGCGGAGCTCCACCACAGAGTAACGAAGGGGGTGAAAGAGATGACTGAAGGAGAGACCGAGGAGAGAAGTGAAGCGGAGGAACGTGAAGGGAGAGCCAAGAACAAAAAAAAGAAAAAGGAGGAGACAAACGGAATGAAGAAAAAGGAGGCGAGGCAGGAGAAAGGGAAGGAGAAGGGTGGTGAGGAAGAGGAAGCCGACCGCCATAGCCGAACCGGAGTTGACCGGGCGTTGATCGGAGTTGATCGGGCGTTGATCGGAGTTGACCGGGCGTTGACCGGAGTTGAACGGAGTAGACCAGGCGTTGACCGAGAGTTGAACGGGGGTTGACTGCAGCGTTGACCAAGGCGTTGACCGAGACTGCTGACCACGAATTTGACCAAGCTGGAGCCGGTATAATCTCCCCAAGCCTTCAGCCTATCCCCTCGCCCTATGGATGTGCACACACCCTGTGGTACTTGCTGAGTAAAGTATGTCTGTCTCTTCTTTCTGCATTGAGTCTCTTTTGTCCAAGTGATAGGACTCTGTGAATGAAGGATAGGGCCTTGTTGACCAAACCCACACGGGCTGAGTAGGGCTAAAGACTGTGTCTGACGGCTCGACTGTCCCGGAGGACACGAACCCTCCCAAGGACCGGTACTGACCAGGGGGCTGCTCGGTGTGGCACGGTAGGCCCAAAATCCGAGTTGTGGGCTGCACAACAGGCCGTCTAAGTCTTGAAAGGACCTTCTGATCGCGTCGTCCTGTCTGCGACGTTAAAGAATTCTTGAGGAGTTACGGGGGATCTCCTTAAATGCCTCCTGATCAGCAACAGGTCCTGTAGTGACAGCCTTAGAGTAGGTCTAGGCTAGCGACCCTAGTTGACAGGATCCTGTCCAAATTTTGTAAGTCCTTAGATCGAGTCAGTAGGTCTTGTCAGTCGAGGGGGTAGAGTCTAAGTAATGAGGAGTGGAACCGTTGCCCGGTTGTGCACCTAACACCATGGTTGGCACACGTGGAGGGAATAGTACTACCCCTTACACCCAGGCTCAGGAGGAGCAATTCGCTGCCATTGTGAGAGAGAGAAGGGAGAAGGAGAAGAAGGAGCTCCTCAAACAGGCAAAGTTGAAGGCGATAGCTGAGGAGCAGGCGGCGAAGAAGAAGAAGTTGGAGGAAGAGATGAAGAGATTGCAGTAGGAGGAGGAAGAGAAAAGGAAGGTTGTCGAAGAAGAAGCGGCAGCAGAGGAAGAAGAAGAAGAAGATTCCCTCGAGAGAAGGCGTAGGGGAGAGAGAGGAGAGACAAGTGGCACGAAGGGAGAAGATGGATGGATGGAGAAGAAGATCAGCGAGTGGGTGGCTAATTTATCACTGGGAGAAGACGAGGAGGCCATGTTGTACGTGCCTCGGGAGGAGAGAGAAGCATTTGCCAGGGAGCTGGAAGCGATGGAGGACCGCCTGGACCGTCAGACCTCGGAAGATGAGAAGAGGTTGGAGTGGAAGTTGTGGCTGGCCAGGGAGAAGAAGAGAAGGAGGGAGGAGGCCAACTGGATGGCCAAAGAGGTGGAGAGGATCCAGGCATGCAGACGGGGAGGTGCAAGCCCAAAAGGACACCCCCGCTAAATTAGACAAGATCCTGGGTTATCTGGAAGTCTTGAGCCAGGTCTGGCTTGAATAGCATCAGGCCAATAAGGGTCAAGATGTGACCCTTCATGCCATCTGGTCGGGTTTTAGAGAGTTTGCGCGCGACGTGGTGACCCACGTCGGGACTGAGGTCAAAAGATTGAAGGAAGGCGCAAAGAAGTTCTGCGCAGGCACCATTGAAGGCGCCAAAGTGGTGGCCACAATAGAGGGGGAGTCGTGTCCCCGCAAAGAGCCTATTAAGCTCAAATTTCCTGACTCTTATAGCGGGAAAAGGATGATAACTTTGATAACTGGGAGGCTAGCTTTAACACATATGTGTATTTATACCATATCGCGCCCGAGGAACAAGTCCTCGTAGCCTTCCATGCACTGAAGGACGAAGCGGCCAGCTTTGCCAGGTCCCTTGTGCGCGCAGCCGATTGTGAAAACAATATGGTTGCCTACTCGAGACTAACCCCTCTTTCCACCTTCCTCAAACTCCTGCGAGAGAGGTTTGCTGACATCACAAGAGGTGTCAGGGCCTCTGACAAGCTCCAAACCATCCACTCATGATAGTGGAGGAGTGCGCGAGCACTCAAAGCTATCATGGACGACTTGGTAGTCGTCCCAGACCACAGGGTCACTGAGACCCAGTTGGTCTAATTATTTTATCATGCCATGCCAGAGCCCCTGCTAGGGCATTTCTTTGACAAGACCCAACAGGCCAACATCACGTATGATGCATTGAGTAGGGAAGTGGTCCTGTTTGAGACCAAGTCCATGCCAGTTTCCACTTTCTGGCATAAGGACTTAGATAAGGGCAAAAAGTGGAAGGGTCGTACCATCTCTGGTCAGGTCAGGGCCAACGATCACCTGATCCTTACTTTAGATGAGGGTGCTACTGACGAAGTCCCCTACAGTCAGATAGAGTGGGGGCTAGAGGAGGAGGACAGCGGTATGGGCCAGGGGAGGACCTATGCTGCTGTCGCGGCTGGAGGGAGGCCGCAAGGTAGAGGAGGAGGCCAGGGCCAAAGGGGCCAAGGCCACGGGTGGTCGAGGACCGGGCGCACAGGGGGTTGGCGGTCAAAGGAACCACCAAGAGGGAGGTAAGGGTCAAGGTCCCCCGTTAAATCGTCAAGGTCCTAGTCGGTCCCCGCACTGACGAGGTGGAGGATCACCTCAGAGGAGAGGAGGTTGGCACCCAGGTTGGCCACAAGGTCGGCCTTGGGAAGATCTGGGCTTGGACCAGCGAGTATGGCAGCAGCGTATGGACCAGGGTCAGTTCATATATTGCGGTGACCCGGCCCATATCATTAAATATTGTCCTAAATACAGACAGGCCCGATGGGATGCCCAAGAATCAAAAGGCAGCCACCGGTAGGGGTTGCAACTGCCCCTACGACGAGGCCATGTGGGGAAGCGAGAGCGCGAGAACAGGAAACTCCCACACCACATGAGCCTTCGGTAGAAGTTGCAGGCCAGTGCCTAGTTAGCTGTCCAGAAACTGCTTGTGTCAGCGTCTCTCCAGGCTCGTCCCTCACAGGCGTGGCAAAAGAGTTGAAAGAGAGGATGCCTGCC